CGGTTGTTAATACAGAGCAACAACAGAGGAACAGAACGAGTACATATACCGATAGTTGAATGAAGGTACTGGAAGGCAGGCAGCATTTGGAAGTGTAAGCAAAGGTAAAAAGTAATGAAGAAATCCTCAAAGGGGAGATAAGGAACAAGCTCACATACTAGCTTTTATTTGCACTTATGCACGCTTATCTGTGTGTCGGTGTGTGTGTTCANGGCACTTAGAAGGCTTCGCGGAAATGTGTGGCGGCACATACAACACAGCCAATGTATTGCAAACGCTTACGCACTAAATATACTTAAGCTGCTTGTACATGCTAGATGTTTGTAGTAATCGTAGTTAAGAAAGCAGAATAGGGGCTTCACGCTATTGAGGCGTTTCAAGCAGAGAAACAAGCAAGCAACCAACCAAACAAAGCGGTTGTTAATACAGAGCAACAACAGAGGAACAGAACGAGTACATATACCGATAGTTGAATGAAGGTACTGGAAGGCAGGCAGCATTTGGAAGTGTAAGCAAAGGTAAAAAGTAATGAAGAAATCCTCAAAGGGGAGATAAGGAACAAGCTCACATACTAGCTTTTATTTGCACTTATGCACGCTTATCTGTGTGTCGGTGTGTGTGTTCATATTGATTTGTGATTTTCTTGCACACACACGCAAGCAAACTTGAAATAGCAAGTAACTCCAGCAGCCATTGCACCGAGTAAGTAATTTCAATAGATCGAACAGATCGGTCACCATTTACCATTCAGTTACACTACATATACATATGTATATGTACGAGTATTACAAGGAGGTACGTGACTTTTTGCGGTTTGTGCGGATTTTTCGTGTGAATGAATCAAAATAGGGCACTTAGACAAGCTGTTAAAAGCAAAAGGGACGAGCTGACTGCCGGGTGGCGAATGGAGGGTGAGGAGTCCACTCACACAAACACACACACACACGTACAATCGCCTTGAAGGAGCTATGGCATCAATGAAATTGACAAAAAAATATAGTAAAATAAATAGCATTGAACAAAATCGCAATTGTGGCACGTTTTAGCAGTTGAAGCTGAGGCTTGTGCGGTGGCAAGCAAGCAAGCAGGGAGGGTTAAGCGAGCTGCTGTAGTGCAAAAGCTGGTTTAGAGCGGAGGGAGGATGTTTGTAAATAGTNTTGCACACACACGCAAGCAAACTTGAAATAGCAAGTAACTCCAGCAGCCATTGCACCGAGTAAGTAATTTCAATAGATCGAACAGATCGGTAACCATTTACCATTCAGTTACACTACATATACATATATGTATATGTACGAGTGTTACAAGGAGGTACGTGACTTTTTGCGGTTTGTGCGGATTTTTCGTGTGAATGAATCAAAATAGGGCACTTAGACAAGCTGTTAAAAGCAAAAGGGACGAGCTGACTGCCGGGTGGCGAATGGAGGGTGAGGAGTCCACTCACACAAACACACACACACACGTACAATCGCCTTGAAGGAGCTATGGCATCAATGAAATTGACAAAAAAATATAGTAAAATAAATAGCATTGAACAAAATCGCAATTGTGGCACGTTTTAGCAGTTGAAGCTGAGGCTTGTGCGGTGGCAAGCAAGCAAGCAGGGAGGGTTAAGCGAGCTNGTGTGAATGAATCAAAATAGGGCACTTAGACAAGCTGTTAAAAGCAAAAGGGACGAGCTGACTGCCGGGTGGCGAATGGAGGGTGAGGAGTCCACTCACACAAACACACACACACACAATCGCCTTGAANTCAAAATAGGGCACTTAGACAAGCTGTTAAAAGCAAAAGGGACGAGCTGACTGCCGGGTGGCGAATGGAGGGTGAGGAGTCCACTCACACAAACACACACACACACGTACAATCGCCTTGAAGGAGCTATGGCATCAATGAAATTGACAAAAAAATATAGTAAAATAAATAGCATTGAACAAAATCGCAATTGTGGCACGTTTTAGCAGTTGAAGCTGAGGCTTGTGCGGTGGCAAGCAAGCAAGCAGGGAGGGTTAAGCGAGCTGCTGTAGTGCAAAAGCTGGTTTAGAGCGGAGGGAGGATGTTTGTAAATAAATGGCAGCAATGATGATGACCTTGAATGGGCAGCAGAGTTACTGTGGATTTTTTATTTTTTGTTATTTTTTTGAATGTTGCTTCACTTTGATTTGTTTGTGTACCTACTCAACTTTCAAGTTTTTGCACATGTTTGTCAACAAAGGAGTGTGTGATAGCTGAGAAAGGTGTTGTAGCAAAATGGAATGAAATGAAAGATAAAGAGCCATGAAAAGTTGCTCGCAAACATAAGAATTTAAATACGAAATTCTAGATAATCTAAGTAGTCATTCAAACGCATTAAGTTGTGTACTACTATGCGAAATGATTTTATAAATAGCAAAAAAAACCTTCTCATCGAACTATGAAACAGATTTCTGAGCACTCTGTCTGCACTTACGTGGAGGTAAGATATCGCAGTGGCTTTAAGGTATCTCTGACCAGAGTCAGCAGTCAGTTCGTCACCACCAGTCGCTGCACCACCAGGATTGTTATGTCAAGCTGGTGATGGTATACAAGTATATAAAGGAATGAAGCCATTCGTGCTACTTATGCCGGATGAGATTAGGACTGACATAGACTGAAAACCGTAATCAGTTTTTCAAGTACTCACATTTCGTGAGTGCCTACCTAAGATAAGGATTGCGCCTCATTACCAGGGTTCACAAATCTCTTCTTTTCCGCTTGATTAAAAATTTCAATACTACACTGCCTGATCTTAAAAAAAAAAAACTCTTGAATGTGTTGCAAATAGTTTTGAAATTCGAGTTCCATTTGGAAGACCTCTGAGCTACCCGACGATTTCTGCCATACTTGGCTATTTAGTAAATGGCTCCTATCCAATAAGACACTGACGAGACCCGTGGCTGCAACCGAGTTCAGCTTGAACTTACATTCATAGACAAAGCTTGAATTTTGTTTTCCTCGCTTTTCTCCAATTATACACTCGAGATGCTAGCCAGAGGCAACTCAATTTTCGTCTTACAGAAATCAGATATTTTTTCAACGGAAGAGAACTGAGTTCAAAAAAGTTTTTCAAGCTAGTGATCGGATGATATGAAGATACCTCTCTCTGCATTAGTCATATGAGAAGTACTTGTATACATTTAGGCGCACGCTAATGCTATCAACTCCAAATATTTGCTCGACTGCTGAGCATAAGCTGAGAAAAAACGAAGTGTGTGAGAGACAGAGAGGTATAAAGCACAATTGAGAGAAATATTATATCATTATTCTATCATTCAAAGCAAAGCTTGCTATATACTTTGTATAGTCGTGATCAGAGTAAAAGCTCTCTCTGCCCGTCGCTGGTATAAAGAGCTTGCTTGGAAATTTACGGTACTCCAACTATGCGATCTAGTCTTTCGACCAATGGTCGGCAAAATCACCAACCCAATCAATACAATGGATGAGAATGTAAGCGTTGAGGGCACTGCGCAGCTGTCGCTCTTTCATAGTCTGGAGATAACTGATTTGTATACCCACATATACTAAGAGAGCCCTCAGTGAGCTTGCAGATCACTGCTTTAGACGATAATTGAAGAGGTACAAATTTTCAGACCTTCGAAAAAACGGGATCAAATATTTCATATTTTTGTTAAAAGGACCTACAGTTTAACGAAGACCGCATAACAAATGTGTTTTTTTTTAGAAGTGTTTTCATGGACGAGGTACGACTACACTCATCGCATGGCCACTGACTGTTGAAGGTGATCAAACTTGGGCCCTTTACTTACAGAACTTTGTCGGAATTGAAAGCNTAACGAAGACCGCATAACAAATGTGTTTTTTTTTAGAAGTGTTTTCATGGTCGAGGTACGACTACACTCATCGCATGGCCACTGACTGTTGAAGGGGATCAAACTTGGGCTCTTTACTTACAGAACTTTGTCGGAATTGAAAGGCGCAGGTGCTATGGCTCGAAAGATATACGTATTTCAAGATTTTTAGCGTGCTTCAGCGTAAGAAAACGATCGATGCGCCAATTTGTGATTCTATTAGCACAAAGCTGCTAAAGTTTGTTCATCGTAGAGCAGAGTTTTATATACACTTACGACAAAAAGTATAGGCACAGCTAGTTATTTAATTTCATTATACAACATGTATACAACAATTTTTATTTTAGATTTTTCCGCTAAGTTTTCATAAAAATATGGTTCATACTACAACCAAAAACATAAAAATATGATTTCTAAACATTGTGCAAAACTCAGGAAAATTTAGTATAGTTTAATGCAAATTTAAAATTTTCAAACAGATTTTTACGATTTTTTAGAGTATGTAGCCCTTTAAATTTTAGTGTAGCAAAGTGCAAATTCGAAGTAGCTAGGACTCACCTTTAATTTTAAGATTTTTTTGCGGATTTTCTTGCATGCAAAATTTAAAATTTGCATGAAACTTGATTAAGTTTTCCTGAGGTTTGCACAAAATTTAGAAATTATATATTTATGTTTTTACAATAAAAATTGTTAAATTTATTGTGAAAATTCTCTGTGCCAATAAATTTTGCCGTGAGTGTACATAAATGCGCAAGCAATCATCTTGTAATTAGCGCAGAAAATATATTTAGTTAAAATTACAATATATTCCAACCAACGAAGGCTAAACTCATTAATTTTTCATTATTGAAAAAGTGTATCTATACAAAAACTAAAGAAAATAATTATTTCTAAAACTAGCGCATATTTTTATGACAAAGCGTCTACGGCAAAGCGCGCCAAAATGACAAATCTACAGCTGTCATATGCCTTAAAATGTGGAAGCAAAAATTGCCAAATAATTAAAATTTAAAATAGCGACTGGCCGAAAAGGCAGCTGCAAGTCATCAGTGTGGACCCTTACCACCACCACCACCAACACCGCTGCACAACGACGGGCATGATGTATAAACAACCTAATGCCGACAGTCATACATTTAATGCCAGTGTTCAAGCGATAGGCTGGGTAATGGGCAGTCGAGTCGGTGTGACAGCGCACGTCAGCGACGGCAATGGACAGATGAATGACGTGAAATACGAAATTGAGTGCTGGCGCGGCCACAGGGGCAACGGAAATGCTGTGACGGTGAAGACGAAGTATAAAGGTACATTATTGGTTTTTAGTTTCTCTGTGAAAGCTTTTACGTCAATATTTTTCTAAAGTATGTTTGTGTGTATGCGTTCAAACCCAAAAAGTGCTAAAGATAGTCTTTATTTGTACTTAATGTGCCACAAATGTGTTTGTCTCTTTTAATTGCGAAAATATAGGAAAATATGATAATTAATGTCACTCATTCTGATTTCATGCCCAGCAAAGGCTATGGAGCCACAAACAACCAAATTCGAATAAAATTTTTGTAGCGCGCCAAAATTTTTTGCTGAAAGATTAAATGCAACGAAAATAATTGAAGAGTCTCGACAGTAAATTTTTGAAAAATGTGTTGACCAAAAAAAAAAAAACACAAAAATACGGACGCGCCAAAGGCGCTAAATGTAAACCACCACATAACGGCAGTTAGCGCGGTGATGTTGCAAAATATTTGCATTGGCAACGTCAATTTCGAAAAATTGCATAGACTTATTGCAAAAATATTTATTTATACATATATTGCAGTTGACGTCATGCTCGCTGCTGTTGTTGCACGCCACATTGGTTGGCTGGTTGGTTGCGCTGCATTAATAGCGAAAATTACAAAAATAAATTTGCAACAAAGTAAGAAAAAAATATGATATGTATGCGCATACCAAATGCATAAGAAAGATGTAAGTAAGTGGCATTAAAGAAAATAATACATACACTGCCGGCAAAAAGCATTGGCACACCAAATTTTTCGCAATACATATATGCAAAAAATTTTTCTCTAATATTTTTCCGCCAATTTTTGATAAAAATATGGTTCATTCTACAACAAAAAACATTAAAATATCATTCCTAAACTTCAGCAATTCAGCAAATTTTCTTACAAATTTTCAACTTTTTAGTCCGAATTTTTTTTTGAGTATGCAGGTTTGTAGCTCAATAAATTTAATTATAATAATGTACAACTTTTAAGTAGCTAGGAATGACCGTTGATTTTTGGCAACAATTTTTCTCGCGTCTCTTCCATAAAAAAAAAATCGAAAATACTTTATATGGAACAAATGCAAAACACCTTCAACAAAAAAATTCTCAAAAATCACTGCGATTTTTAGACTAACTCCGAACTTGCAGTTTTTTTTACTAGAATTTAATGGACTGCAAAACTGGATACTCGAAAAAATTCTAAAACTTTTGATTAAAAAGTTGAAAAATTACATTAAAATTTGCTGAATTTTTGGGAGTTTTGCAAAGTGTAGGAAATATATTTTTATGTTTTTTGTTGTATATTTTTATAAAAATTGGCGAAAATATATTAGAAAAAAAAATGTACGCATATATTGTGAAAAATTTTTTGTGCCAATACTTTTTGCCGGCAGTGTATAACTTATTCAGTTTTTTTCTTTTAATTTCAGCGAAAATTTGAAGCCGCAACCAAAACTTTCATTGCAATTGTGGCGCGCCGCCTGTCAACGTCATTCATTAAAGGCAAACCGAGCCGGAGCAGAAGATGGAAACAATGGGAGTGCAGAGCAACGAACATCTTCAAGGGGCAATCGAGGTGCAATGGTTGCGAAGACGTCAGCAAGTGAGCAGATGCGCTGCGCTTTTAAAGATCTACGCAATGCATAGACTAAGCGAGCGAACGAGAAGAAAATCGACTGAAAATTCTGGCTAAAAATACATCAGCGCGCGCACTGACAAAGGTACGTTAAGTAAAAATAAATGA